AAGAAGTGTGAGAACCTTCCCTGTCCTTGTAAACCAAAGGCTTTCTTGAGGGTTGTGGCAAGGCAGCTGAGGAACCCATATGCCATACTGAGAGAGGCGAGGCTCTGGCCGGTGTGGCTGACGTGTGCCAGCTCCGCAAGCAGCAGCAGTTTCCTTGCTGTGTGCCGGTGGTCCAAGCCTTTTAGCTGTGTTTGAGTTTTTTGTTGTCCTCCTAAGCGTCCAGGATGTGGGGAGCAGAACCTGCGGTGTAAGGAAAGAGAGCCCCTTTCCAAAAACATTTGGGGGAAGCAGTTTACGCAGTGTAGTTGCTCTAGGTTCCTCCACACCCATGGCAGGGACATGCAGTCTCCCAGTGCCAGCATGGATAAGGTGCTCTCCAAACTGTGCTGTGCACCCCTTGCAGCCTGTTGCTAGAGCACACCTGTCGTGGGCGTGTGCCCTGGCCGTTGGGGCAGAAGTGTGTGCCCTGAGGGCATCCTCGCTACCGAGCAGTCTCCCTGAGCCTCCTTGGCGTGCCAGTGCGCTGCGGCCCTGGGGCTCCCTGCAGGGAGAGCAGCTCCGGGAGGGTCAGGGAGAGCAGCACCTGTGAGCCTTGCCACGTAAGAGCGCGTTGCAAGAGGATCTTATCCCAGAGATGGCTTTTCTCATCTTGTAAGACAAAGAGAGTGGCCGTGGGGTGTGCTCTGGGGAAGGAGGCGGGCTGCAAAGCAATGCTGCAAAGCTGGACATGCAAATCAGAGGTATTTCCATCTGCTTTGTCACCCGTGGTGCTTGGCCCTGAGCCAAGGGCTGACTCCATAATGAGCATCCTAAGACCCTGTGTTGTGCTTGCCTGGGACACTTTCAGTCTCAGTTCTAGTTTTCTGGCAGCTGACATAAAATGCTGCTTAGAAGCCTGCTCCTAGAACTAAAGTGGAGTTTCTAGGGAAATGTTTATTTTGCATTTAATTTATATATTTATTTTTTTTTATGTTGAGCTGCATTTTGTGTGGATTTAATATTTTAATTTATATATGTTAACATGGCATCATGTGCTCTTAGTGTCCGTTCAGAGGTTTCTCAGTACAAATACTTAGATGCTTTAATTTAAACATCAACAACATAAAAAGACCATAGAGAACTTGCTGGCAGCAAAAGGGGGCCCTGCGCACAGCCTGCAAGGCTGTGTCTAAAACCCAGCAGCTGCAGGACAAAGCCTGAGCAGCCCCTCCCCTAGGAGCAGCCAGCCCTTTTGACACAGCCCTTGTTAGGAGCCTGGGAGCTTTACTCAGGGATTTAGCAAATCCCTGCCCTGTGCTGTATTCATTTTAACCATGCCAGAAGAATAAATGTCATTCTCTGTAGCCCAGTGGGGTCAGCGTCCATGAATGTTGGTTATGGCAAGCAACTGCAGGCAGTAACACACCTGCTCCTGCTGCCCCGGACCCTCCTGGGGGTTTGCTTTCAGTGCCTGGGGGGCTCCTGGCTCTCCTGCCAGTGGCACTGGCTGCAGCAGGACGCCCGGCGCTCGAGGAACAGCTGTGACCCTCGCGACCGGCTCCCTCGATCCCTAAGCGTGGCTAAGTGTAAAAGCTACTGCACTAACTTTAGATAGACCCACACATGAATGTTTTCTCAGTTTTAAACTTGAAGCAATTCTGACTAAGCAGCAGTAATAGTGAGGCTTTGCAAGGTGCCTGCATCCTCCAGGCAGGAGCGCAGTCATTGGCAAGTGTTCCAGTAGAAACACCTGCTGTGCTCCTGCGCTCTACAACGATGCTGCTTGGACAGCTTTATCCTACACCAGTTCGCTTCCCTGTCCTCAAGGCTCCACGGTTTTTTTAGTCTTTTGTGGCAGCCTGTTCTGCCTTCAGCTTCCCCCTCTCCCTTTCTGTCTTCCTCCCCTCCTCCCTTCCCCTCTCCCTCCCCTGCCGCACGCCTCCCTTAAAAAAATTACAGGGGAAAAAGACTTGTAAAAATGCCAATTTGTAAAGAGTCTGACCCTGCTTAGCCTGCAGGAGCCAGCAGAACCCATCCAGAGCCAGAGGTAATACAACACTATAGAGAGAAACAGTTAAACTCTGCTTTTGCTTGTTTCTGCATGTGGGCAACAACGCGTAATCTTCCTGTATGTAATAGGTACAAAATACTATTTTAAACCTATAATTAAAAACAGTGAACGTCTTAACTGTATTGAAATGGCGACTTGTGCTCCTAGCTTCTTCTATGCTAAATGTTTTAAAAACAGAGCCCTGATTCTTTTCTTCAGCATCATGTTTCTATTTGAATTTAGTTCCTTGAGTTCTGTCCTTTTGCCCATTTCCATGTAAAACACTCTGTAACTAACTGCTGTCAGAGAGGAGCCCAACACATTAATAATAAAGCCACATTAACTGCGAACAAGAACACTTCCAATGGTTTCAAACTGTTCTTTGAGTGAGTCCCTCCTGTCGGCGCAGGGCACACGGAGCTGCCA